GTGGTCCAGTGGGGACTCGCCTATCAGTATGCAATCGCGCTGCAAGACTCCCAGGAGGTGCTCGGCGGCCTCCACTACAGTAAGAGGAAGTTCGACCGGTTGGGTCTGTGAGACGCCAATGACCGGTGGGCGTGTGCTCGAATGGATCCCCCCTCTTCTCGAAGATTTTCCAGATTGACACCTTCCCTTAGGAGCACTGACCGACTGGGCAGCATGCGAGAGGTAGGCTAGTTGAGGGTTTCTCGTAGATCTCGAATGAGTCGGCCAGTGTGGGTGCCACGTTGAGTGTTCCCCATGATTAGGGTTTCGATCGTGTGTTTTAGGTTTGAGGAACAAACGTTAACTTTACGTATCAAATCCCATGGACGGCGCCAATGTTGGTTTTATGACTTTTGGGCAATCAACGGCAGGCCAACACTACCGTTAGAATAACGAGAATATAGGAAAAATATATAGAGAAAATATAGGAACTTTGTACTGATGAGTATTGCTAGTGAATAATGAAAGTTGTCCCCCTCTCTTCTATGTGAGCGGTCTATTTATACATATTGCCATATTTTGGGCCTAGAACCCTACAAGGAATAAGAATTCTAGATTGCCTCATATTGGGAGTCTTAGTTACATAATGAGACCTAATTCTATTATACTAGAAATAGTGAGCCCAGTTCTAATTATATTAGGAATAACAGGCTCAATCCTTGACAAACTCTTGGATTGCTCCGTACTGTGTGTCCTTCTTTGGCTTCCTTGATCCAATTGTTTTCTTGGGCCGGCCAATATGGCCCAGGCCTAGTATGTCATCCATCAACCATATACTATTTACCATCTAAATAACACATGGTCATTACTAATCGCATTTAACATCTAAATTTATTATGATAATTGATTAAACATAGAGAATTTCTTCTTACAACGATTTTTTTTTTTTGAAAAATGGCACTTTTTCCCATTGAATTATATGTTTATAGCACATTTTCTCCCTGAATTATTCATATAAGCACATTAGCCCCCTCAATTATTCTAAAAGTGGCGGTTCCCCCCTGATATATTAAATTGACATTTCTACCCTTAAAGTAACATTTAATTTATTTTTCTTCTCCAACAAATTATTGATTATACGTAGGGATGACCACGGTTCGGTTCGAACTAAACCGGACAATATAGCAATCAAATTGAAAATTTCCGGTTATGATTCAGATCTAGAACCTAATATTTGGATTAGGGATGGCAACGGGGCGGGGCGGGGGCGGGGAGTATACTCCCCGTCCCCGTCCCCGCGACCACGTCCTCATCCCCATCCCCGTCCCCGTCCCCGACGGGGAATTGAAAATATTCTCCATCCCCGTCCCCACGGGGAATTAGGCGGGGACGAGGATTCCCCATTCCCCGTCAACTATTAATCAAAATGTTAAACAATTGTAATTTTTAATAAAAAATAAATAAAATCTAAGTTCTAGTTTCAAAAATTAAAGTACCAAGTCAACAATATATATATATATATATATATATATATATATATATATATATATATATATATATATATATACATACATACATATATATATAATTATTCGGGGACGGGGCGGGGCGGGGAGGAGTATCCCCGTCCCCATCCCCGTCCCCGTTCTCCGAAAATTTTTCTCATCCCCGTCTTTGTCGGGGCGGGGATCGGGGATCCCCGTCGGGGACGGGGCATATTGCCATCCCTAATTTAGATTTCAGTTTATTAAAATTATGAATTGAAAAAACTAGATCCTGAACCGTGAACCGGCGTTTCCGGATCCGGTTCGCGATTTTGAACCGTCTTTATTATAAAATTTTATTTTTTATTTTTAAAATAGTCTAAATTCAACAATAAATGTATTTTATTTGTTTCAGTTCAGAACATGAAGCGATCGTTCCGTTCGCGATTTTAATAAACTCTAAATATCAGGTTTCGATTCTAACTTGTAATTGGAATATTTCAGTTTCGTTGCTATAATGTCTGTCCGATTTGAACCAAATCGTGGTCGTAATTCGTTGGAGAAGAAAAATAAATGAAATATTTATTTCAAGGGTAAATATGTCCATTTAACATTTCAGGGGTAAAAAATAGCCACTTGAATAATTCAAGAGAAAAAGTGCTATAAGTATATAATTCAGGGGGAAAAGTGTTATTTTTTCCTCCATTTTTTTACTTCAAATAATATCAATTGCCCATGAACTTCCTCTGATTACTTTTGAAATGACAATTAAGAAAATTAATGGTACACATATTATGGACATAATTACAGAAAATAAACATACACATATTACGTCCATAGTTAAATGAAAATAAACATGCACATATTATTTATTAAGAATAATATATACTCCTTAATTACCATAATTTTTCAGATTGCATTAGACGTCATAATTAGCATAATATTAATTAAGAATAGTATATACTCATTAATTACCATATAGTAATCATAATAAAATGACCTCATTCTTATTGGAATTAACGATAAGTTTTACTGCCTATTTAGGAAGTTAAACATACACATATTACTGTGAGTAATTAAAGGAAAATAAACATACACATATTACGTCCATATTATCAACCTATATGACTATATTTAACACTTTAATCTTACTATGGTATATTCAACATAGAGATTCATTCCTTTCATTTGATTATAGTTTATTTTTGTTAATTAAAATAATATCAAATAGTCATGTTCTTCCTTCTATTTTTTGTTTAGACATTTCCTAATATAATTTTTAAGTAATTAATTTCAACACTAATATATAAATCTTATAATTTCAAATAAATGTACACTTCCAAATATTAGATCGAATTGTTTCTAACTTCATCATTAATGTTTTCAAAAAAAAAAATCATCATTAATTTTATTATTTAATTATATATATATATGTATATATATATATATATATATATATATATATATATATATATATATATATATGTGTGTGTGTGTGTGTGTGTGTGTGTGTGTGTGTGTGTGTGTGTGTAAAAGAAAAAAAGTTTATCCGTGTATCGCAAGGGTAATTTACTAGTACCTTTACATACATGCATGCATACATACATACATACATACATACATACATACATACATATATACCTCCCATGCATATTTTCAAACCATTCTTCCCTATTTTTACCCATTTCTATTGATTTTTTTCATTATTGTAGGTATTTTTTCACAAAATCATTCACAATAGTGTTAAAATCAAGTTAGCGTTTATTAAAATAACTAGTTATCACACGCGCTTTGTGCTATACATCATCTTAAAAGTAGCTTACTCTGTTAAATCTCTCCGATTACTGGCCCAATACTGGCATTTATTTAAACATTTACTTTTAGTGCAATAATAAGCATTTATGATTTAATAACTAGTATTAGAATAATTTAATAACTGGTATCTGAATAATGTTACATTTTAAAAAATTGCATCATCTTCTACCACATGATACTATTTTTCTATCTTAATGTTCCATTGCCCCGTCCTAATAAGATCTTGCAAAAATATAGAAATATCCTCAAACGAGGGGTGATCGTCAGGTCTAATTGCCCAACAGTTGATAATAAACCCTTTAATACTTTCAGGAAGTACTTCGAATGCTGCCGGATTTCTGAATAGGGACCCGTGGGAGAACAACTCCCAAAGTATGTAGGAGAAACTGTAGACATCAACTAACTTTGCTTTCCCAAGGCTTGAGTTGGTTTATTCAAGCAATCAAAGTTAGAGGTGGAATGACAACTTCTTGCATGGCTGCCAAAATCTCCGGGGAGGTCTACTTGCCCACATTTTCTTGCTTAGTCTGGAATAGAAATTCCCCTATTTTTACGTGTTTTAGGTCTCCAGTTAAAAAGATATTGTTTGGTCTTAGACAACAATTGAACTATTCCAATCGAGTGAAAATGCTCCATTCCTTTACTAATATCCTGAACAAAACTCAAAGCTTTTTCGAAAGTCAAATTTGTCGCAGGATTTTCAAGAAACTCAAGAAGAGAACCCCTCCTCATGTAGTCGGTAACAAAAACCAGATCGAGTTCAATGCTCGCTCCATGAAAGCCTACAATGTTATTATGGGTTCCACCCTAGAATGCATGTGGGCATATCTACGAAATGTCATACGCCTTTCTTGGTCTATTTCTCTCGTGAGCGTCCTTATCAGAACATCATCTTGAAAGTAGCTTCCTCCATTAAATCTACACTAGTCAATCTCTCCGATTAGTGGCCCATTACTGACATTTATTTAAAACATTTACTTTTAGTGCAATAATAAGCCTTTATGATTTAATAACTAGTATCAGAGTAATTTAATAACGGGTATCAGAGTAATGTTATATTTTAAAAAATTGCATCATCTTCACTAGTACGGAATTGCAGATAGGCAACCATTGTAAAAGACAATAGGCGATCATTATACAATGGTCGCCTATGAGAGGCTCGCGGAAAGGCATCGACTTTACGCGACCATTGTGAAATGGTCGCGCATTGTTAGTAATACGCGACCGTTCTTGACAAAGAACGGTCGCGTATTGTTTTTTTTTTATTTTTTTTTAATTCGAAGGGAAAACGCGATAGAAATGGTCGCATTTTCTATTTTTATTATTTTAATAAAATGTCATCCGCGACCATTTCTGGCTAGGAATGGTCGCGGATGACATTTTAATTTTTTTATTATTTGTTTATTTTATTAAAATCCCTAATTTTTTTTATAATTCCTGTTCATGTTACAGCTTATTCAAATCCTATCAACATTACTCCACTATCAACACACTTTAAAATAATACCTTTAACACATAATGCAAATACTATCATCAAAATACAATAATAAAATTCTCATACTTTAATACAATAATATCATCAAAACATGCCCAACTCGATCAATACTATCATCAAAAACAAAATACTTTTTATCAATTAAATAAAAGTTACAAGCACTCGGAAAAGAAGAACTTTGACCAATGCTCTCGAACCTCATTTATGTCGTCGATAGAATACGGACTATCTCTTTCAAATGCCTACAAAAAATTAAATTAATAAAATTATTAAATATGTTAATTAATAAAATATAACTTAAATATACATAGTTCTATTTAAATTCATTTACCCCATCCAAATTATCAACAGATGAATATTTTGTCACGATGTCATACATGTATCGCATGACATAATATCCACACTCATGACCTCCCGGTTGGACCGGGCACTAAAAAATATACATATATTATTTTACTAATTTAAACAACTTAATGTAATTCAAAATATCACACTAAAACTTAAATTCAATTTTCATACATACTTTGCATGGCTTCCAATTGATGTTCTTATCACGTGCACTCGTAGGAACAGAGCGAAATGCCCTATAATAATTATAAGCATACAAAAAATTTATAAATAATATCATAGCTGCTAAAATACTTATATAAATAATAAAATATTTACTTACAAATTCACAGATCCTTTGATTAAACCTATGTTGCGATTAGAAGGCAAGAGATCCAAGATACATACGCTTTTTGACCGTATGCAAATCACCAAAAGTAACCAATGAGAGCTACATTTAAAAACACAAATATATATTAAAAATTTAATATCTAATACTCCAAATATAAAGTTATGAGTTATATTAATAAAATATAAGAACAATTTTCTTACTCTTGATGATATGGTGCTAAAATAAAGTTTTTATCTTTGTGCTGCTCCATAACGTGGATGAAATATGATGTAACTTTGCTGGAACTGCTTTTAAGCATAGTGTGGCAAATCTGAGTCGGACAGACAAATCCGATTGACCTAATGTCATACTCATTGCACAACTAATTAAGAAATCTGAAAATTAAGAAATAATGAATAAGAAATTTCACTAAATATAGGTAAACATATATATAAAATACAATAATAATTAAAAAAAAAAAACTTACAGTATAAATACTTGTATGATTGAGACATTAAGCCAATTCATCATCATCAAATCCGCTATATCATTCATCATCACAAAAATAGAACTTGTGTTTTTATGATGGAAGATAGCTTTATCCAGCTCCAACTCAATACAGTCTTTACCAAGTGGAATGCCTGTCAACAAATCCACTAAACACTTGCAATTGTCCCCCAAGTGCGTTAAGACATCATCACCAACAATGTGATTATGGGTTCCACCCTAGAATGCATGCGGGCATATCTACGAAATGTCATACGCCTTTCTTGGTCTATTTCTCTCGTGAGCGTCCTTATCAGAACATCATCTTGAAAGTAGCTTCCTCAATTAAATCTACACTAGTCAATCTCTCCGATTAGTGGTCCAATACTGGCATTTATTTAAAACATTTACTTTAGTGCAATAATAAGCCTTTATTATTTAATAACTAGTATCAGAGTAATTTAATAACTGATATCAAAGTAATGTTACATTTTAAAAAATTGCATCATCTTCTACCACAGGATACCATTTTCTATCTTAATGTTCCATTGCCCCGTCTTAATCAGATCTTGCAAAAAGAGTTTCTTCATCTCCGGTCATAGAGAAGAAAACTTCTTATTCTCCATGGCTGGAGACGAAGAAACTCTTGGTCTCCATGGCCGAAGACGAAGAAACTCTTCGTCTCCATGGCGGAGATGAAGAAACTCTTCGTCTTCATGGCCGGAGACGAAGAAACTCTTCGTCTCCGACCGTGGAGACGAAGAAATCGGTCGGAGACGGTCGTCTCCGGCGGGAGTCATGTTTTTTTTTCTTAATATTTAATTTAAAAATAATTAATTTTTAAAATTTATTTTTTAAAAAATAATTAATTTGGAAGAATGACCTGTTGACATGTTGGAAACCTTCAAATTGAAAGAATTGTTTGAAATTTGTTAGTTTAGGGACCTAATTGTTAATTCTTTAGGTTCAGTGGACTAATTGCGTTATCGGTTCAATTGAAAACACAGTACACGATTTGATTTGTTTCATTTTCCCATTTTTTATTAAATTAAAATTTGAAATTGTTATAATTAAAATCGTAAATTTCAATTTACATTTAATTCCTTTATTATATTATTGAATTATAAGTTTATGAGATTATCAATGTATTACTATTTATATTATCTTACATTATTATTTGATTGTTTTTATTTTTAATAACGTGTCGCTTTGGATGAAAAAGTGACGATTCGCTTTGCGCTTTCGCTTTAAAGCGAAGCCCATGCTCGTCGCTTCGGTGCACTTTTTCACATTGAAAAGTTTGAGTTGGTGTATGTAGTATCAGCTTGCTAGCTACAAATATTAATTCATTAGTGATTGACACTCCAATCTTCACCAAATGTTCATATCTAAGATTCTAAAAAGAGACTTCTAACTCTTTAAAGTTGATTCTTCTTCACTAAAAAAAGCTAGCTAATTGTTCTTGTTAACCAAGAACTTTTCGCCATTTAAGCACGAATTAAAGTGAAGAAGAACTATATATGGCCAAGTAGATTCTCAGGCTTGAAGCTACATCTTTCTTAACTAAGAACTTTTGGTCATTTAATTTGTCTTGTTATCGGTTCATATTTGCTACTCTTTATTTTGTCTTTCAAAACTTCTCTTTTGATTCCCTCTCCTATCTTTTATTTCCCTCTTTTCTTCTAAATTCAATAAGGATGCCTTGCCTTTTATAATGTCTTTTGGTTCTCTTTTGAAGATTTATAATCCCAAGTTTTGCCATGGCTTCCATTATGAGGGATGTCAATTTTAATCTAAAACCGATGATCTGACCTGATAAGTCTGAAAAATTTTAGTCAGAGCCAAGAAATTTTCATTAGATAAAAAATTAGCTCGATAAACTCGAAACGAATAAGCCCAATAACCTAAACAGGCTATCACAAAATTTAGTGAGCTAGCTTGATAGCCCGAGCCACTTAATGTCATTCTTCATTTCACAAGTGATGTGGGACAAAATATATAGGAAACTTATATGTAAGCTCATCTTTAGTAATTTTTATTAAATTTGTAACTAAAATTTTAATAAATGTATTACAAACAAAATATTTTTTATGATAATAAATAATGAAAAATAATTAGTATAATAGGTGATTGTGTTAATTCCACGTAAGCGGTTAATAGTAATCAAGACAGTCCAATCAAAAGCAATTAAATCTTTATTGATCAGGCAAAGGACCTAATAAAATCTACAATGGCTATTCCGAGGGCCGACTGACTGCGGTCGGGATGCTCTGTAAATAGCCTATCGATCGTCCAAAAGTCCCTCACACTGTTGCCGCCGCGGGTATTTATAGCCGCGAGGCCGGAGACACAAGTCCGACCATCCGGCATGTACCCCACGTAGCAACCACGTGTCTTCTTCCCGGGAGCCCTGCCTGTCAGCGCGTAATGCTGTCACGTGCCTCTTCTCGGCTTTATCGTCTAAGGGCTATCGATCGGGAGTTGAAAACGTCGGTCGGGCGATGCCCGGTCGGAAGCCGACCGGGTTCTTCTAAGAATGTCCGACCTGTAACCTGCTGCATAAACAAGAATAAAAGACGAAGGTATGTCGGTCGGGGTATTCCCTACCAAGAGCCCCCCCCCCCCCCCCCCCCAGCCCGGGCCTTTTTGACCGCCCGCGGAAAAATGGGACGGGATGAAGAATTCCAATCGTCTGCCGCCAACCCGACCAGACAGCTGTCATTCTTTGTCGTGCCACGCGTCGGCCTCTGCGCGCCTCTACGACCACAACGGTCGCCTCGGAATCTGGAGCGATCGCGTCACGCAAGTGGGCCGTTTCTCGCCCAAACGTCCTCCTATAAATAGGCCTTCTTGAAATTCATTTGAACTTTTACCAAGACTTCAAAGTCGGTCAGAGCATCCCGAGCGAGCAAGTCAGAAAGTCGGTCGAGCAACCAATCCTCAGCCTTTTCCAACAAACCGCACCCACTCGGTAAGTTCCCTGCTCCTTAACTCTTTATTTTTCGCTTTACTTTTCCTCGTAACGGCCAACTACGGGCCTTAACTGACTCCGCCCGGGTCGTTCCCGACCCTAACGACATCCCGACCGTCCTTTAGGAAGACGAAAAAATGTCAAACACGGACAGTCAAAATATCTCAGGCGCGGATTACGACGACGCGGTCGAGCAAATGAGCGAGGAGGTGGACATCATGGCGTCTTCGCCAGAGGTCGTTCAACGACCACAGAAGACCCCCGAGCGACGAAGGTCGTCTAGCTCGGAGGGAACGTCGAGCTCGAGCGGATCAGGTAGCTCGAGCGATAGGAGCGGCGAGACAACCACGAGCGGGCAAGGCTCCCCGAGTGGTGGCGTTCGGGAAACGCTGACCCGGATTATTGGGGTGTACCCTCAAGCCGCCCCCCCAACGAACGATCGGGAGGCAACACCAGAACCGGTCGAGGAAGACCCGGCCGCACCGGCTGCCGATGGATATGCGTTTTTGAACCGCAAAAACGTCGAGCGGCAAATGAGAAAGTTGACGAAAGGAGAGGTAGCGAAGATCGCCGCAAGGCTTCGCGGTCGGGTGCAGTTCGATACTAGCCGCCAGCTGGGGAATATAATCGAGCGTCACCAGGGGAAATGAATCGGGATGCATTACGATTCACTGCAGGCCCCGATCGCCTTCCCCTTCTCGGCCCTCCTGACAGCGTTCTTGGGATACTACCAAGTAGTCGCGGCCCAGATCTGCCCGAACGCGCACAGGATCCTGGCCTGCTTTCCACAAATCTGCGCTCGGCATAAGGTGCCGTGCACGATGGAGTTGTTCAACTTCATCTACCAGGTGAAGATCCCCCCGCCCAAGTATGGAGGCGGGTTTCTGATGATCCAGTCCCGGGCGGAACTATGCTCGACAATCTGCCCGGGAACAACAGGGGGTGGAAGAATAGGATCTTCTCGGTCAAGTATGACCCGTCGATCCTCCCGGTCGAGAGGGTATGGAGCACCCATTATAGGAAACAAGTCACGCCGGTCGAGACTCAGGCTCTCCGGGACGCCGTCTCCTGGATCTCGAGCGAGGTCCATGAGTACAAAATTTTCCGGTCGGTGGAGAGCTATGATGAGGCCCAATTGCCACCGCCGCGGTATGATCTGGAGGAGAAATACAAGCCCGAGCCAATGGGCGTAACAATCGCAAGGGCCGCTGATCGGGTCGAGCCGGCGGACAAAGGTCTAACACTAACCCATCATCCCCGACCCTAACTCCCCGATCATATCTTAACCTCGATCTAATGGCTCGTTCTTTTTTTTTTTTTTTTTTTTTTTTTTTGCAGAAATGGCCCCAGCAGGTTTTGACGAGGAGGAGGTGCCCCTAGGCCCCCGAGCCAAGATCTCGCTCGGGGAGAAGAAGGCGGCCGCCGGGTCGTCCGGAGGGCAGCAGATCCCGATTGCCCGGCCAC